AGAGAGAAAACGTATCTTTCTATCCCGTTTGAATTGTGCCATGAATTACACATCTGATGTTTGACAATCTTAAAAAATAATTTCCATGTCAAAAAAGTCACAGTTTGACGTAAAACTGTTGAAATATAAGACAGAAAAATACGCAACTAGAAAGACTACAAATCCCAGAGTCACGTAAGTGATGTCACAATTGTTTTCCTCTGATGCGGCTTTCACACCAGCGCTTTTCCCATAGCTCCGAGCGGGAGCTTTTCTGGTTCAGCTCCGGTTTCCCTTTTCTGCTCCCGCTCTGTTCACACCGCCCAGAGCTGCCGCTGCTGCGTCATGACGTCACCGTTTACGTGCCTGCTTCATAAAATCCAAACCGCGCGGAAATCCCTCACATCGACAACAACAACAATGGCCGATTGTATTGAAGCGCTGTTCGCTTTGGTTATCCTCTTACGAAACGAAATGGAAGGCATCGGACGACTTTACAAGGGACGACTTTACTTGGAAGTTTACAAACATCATATGCGAAATGCAAGACTTCTTTGTGGTCTTCAGCATCTACTTCAACCCGCCTCGACGTAAGAGAGACGTAAGCGACGCCGCCTCTTAGCTCCGAAGCTCTTGCCTCTAGACCGACAATTTTTTGGAGCTGGAAGTGAACCGGATTCCGGAGCTAAGAGGCGGCGCCTCTGCGGTGTGAACAGGAAAAACCGGTACTTTTCAGGCTCCAGCCTCGAGCCGGAGCTGAAAACGCGTTGGTGTGAAAGGGGCATTAGCTAAAATCAGCGCCATATATATTATATAATCTATCTATATGGCGCTGGCTAAAATAAGATAACTTTAACAAGATGCCTGTGTGTTTAGTACCAGGTTGTTATCATACCAGCAATCGGTCTTGCTAGTTCTTTCACTTCCCGTCTGATGAAAGGACCAGGAGTGGCTGGATAAAGTTAGCTACCTAGCTAGTAGCTAGCACGTTAGTTAGCATTACAGCCTTGTCATTTGTATTAGCCTTAATATGAAGTAACATTAAGTAACCCAAAATGTTAAACAGTAAGAGTAGTAGTCATATTTCGTGAACCCTTTGAAGAGTACTGTCACCGGTGTGATCATTCTATAATACACAATTTAAGCCCGGGGGAGAAATGCTAACGCTAGCATCGGCGATCGCCGATCTTTTCTACTTCATGCTATCTGCACAAATGGTTGACATTAAACATTAAAAAGACCAGGCAGTTCAGAGAGAATCAAAGGAATGCAGGCAAGCAGCTTTGCATGACATTCTTCTGGACGTGTTTCATTGTGGTGATAGTGAGGGTAGCTAATCGTTTTGTTGACAAGACGAAAGTCTTTCTCTGGTCTGCATCCCCTTAACAATTGTATGTTTTGAGCTGTACTGTACTGTACCCAATATACAAGCTGTTAATAAACTTTTCAATCAATCAATCAATCAATCAGACAGTAGTGACGGCCATCTTGGTGACGTGTGTTGTTCTGCGAGACCAGAGATGTAGTTCATTGAGCGTTTCACACAAACAAATGTGTTACTTCACAGTTTTACGACACATTTTAATTTGTTTGACTTGCAAAATTATCTTTTAAATTGACAAACATCATATGTGCAATTCGTGGCACAATTCAAACGGGATCGAAAGATAATCTTTCTCTCTCCATTGACTTCAATACATGATTTTTTCGAAATAAGGTCCCATGGAGGTCCACCGAAAGGGGAGGGACTTCGCCACTCTATTGTGCATTTCTACTTTTAATATTCTAACTACATTTACAGGATACTATAGTAAAGGGTTAGAATACTTTACTCACCAGTGTTCCCACTGCATTAAGAGGGAGAGCTGGTTCTGATCGGGATGAGGAGATATGCTGTAACCTTATCTGCAGAAAGCTGCTGTGTGCTGCATTATTTCATCTCATGTGCCCTAAAAAAAGACAAAACATCAGAGAATGGAACAAGCATGACCTCAGACTTTGTAACCTGTCAGATATAATCCAATCATTCTGCTGAGGGCCTAACTCATGTTTAACGCCAGTCTATACATCATACTGTATATCTAATTTAAGGTCGGGCTGACTGCTCTTTGAAGAGGCAGTTTCCAAATCACATTCCAGTTTTTCCGTCCCAAACAGCAAATTATTTCTACTCCCGCAAGACGTGTGATTTCGGACTCAGAGTTGGAGAAAATCACTTGCAGACTACTTCACGAGGAGTTTATTAATCTGAAACAAGGGGTCTGGGATTCAAACTGAAGTATAAACAACCTCATCATCAATGGACAACGTTTATAAAAAAAAAAAAAAAAGCTTTAGGTGCTTTCACACCGCAGTACTTTTCCCACAAAGGTTCATCTGTAATTTTAAATACAGATCGCGTTCACACCGGAATAAATCCCTGGGGAAGGATTAGGCAAATTAAACCGCTGACGTCACTTCTTCTGCTTTGGGTTTACTGGCAGGCCGCAAACAACTTCACGGCGTATACTGCCACCCGAAGCCCCCGGAGTTGGGGACTGGCTTCCGAGTAAATTGCAAGAACGCCGACACCTCCTCCATGTTTTCTTTTGTGTTGCCATAAATTAGTCTCTCTGCGTTTGTGCGCTGGGCTAATGCTAATAATGCTAATGCGAGGATAATAATACAATTTCACAAAACTTCTTTTTTTTACGGGCCGTGGTTTGCATTCTGCCCAGCCAATCAGACATAGGAACCTTTTTCTCCCACAAAAGTACCTGCTCTCTAGCAGGGACGGAAAAGGGGGTAAAAAGGTTCTCATGAACTCATTTTAGTTCCGGCTCTTTTTGGTGTGAACACGACATTTGGGAACTATATCGAAACTAAAGTGGGAAAAGTACTGCAGTGTGAACGCGGCTACCTACAGACTCAGGTTTGACCATAGACTGGGTTTGACGCCATATACCACAGAGGAAAGCTACGGCAAAAATGTGCCCCATAATTGGTAACAGTCTCTGAATTTATGTAAGCAAGGTAGGCTTTAATTAATCCCAGCACAATGAGGATCTTCTGCGGAGTGTGTATTTGTTTTTGGACGTCACCACAGGGCCAATCTGGAGCCCATCAGATACAGTGTCTAAATACACAGCAATCAGATGGTTTCTTTCCCTTTAAAACCCACCAATGACTCAGCAAAAATTACCAAAGGTTATCAGGGGGCATCTACCACCAGACTCTGACCTACATGAACCCACCCTCAGTTCCCCCGAAATGTGCCTCAGTCAGAGCCCTATTTCCACCTCATTAAAATCCCTAAATCAGGCTGTTTAAATCAAGAAGTCTACAGGAGTGGGAATGGGTGATGGGAAAGGCAGTTTGGAAAGATGCCGAACGTAACTGGCACGTCTTATCTACCACATATTAGCAAAGTTGAGAAATGGTATTTGCCATGTTGCATTAGCCTGCTGCCGTCCCATCATCGCCTGCCATTCCCAGCAACAACATGATCCAAATCCGGTCCAGATGTCTCCGCCATCGAGCTTCAATATTTCACTACCCCTGCATTCAGCTTATCAAGTGTGTCACATATCCCTGCCTGATAGCATCTCGCAGGATTTCAGAAAACCTGCCTGCAGCTGACCACAGCTTCATTAGAAACTGATATCACCTTCAGATTTATGTTGCGCATAGATTAACTAAATAAACTATAAATCTAACAATAAAACAGTCCGTCTAACATGTGAATAATCTGCAGACGGTAAACAGTCTTATGTTATCTGAAGGTACTAGATTTACACTATTTGGCCGTTTTATTTGGCAATAATGTTCACAATGTTTTATTTCAGAGATCTATTAGGCCCATAAAATACAACAGTTTAATACTATGCATTTAAAAATACATTATAAAATGTGTATTATCGCACAGCTTCTCAACATTCAAACTAACGTATATACAGGGTTGGGTTGTAACGGAATACATGTAACGGCGTTACGTAATCAGAATACAAAAATCAAGTAACTGTATTCAGCTCGCGTTACATTTGAAAAACGAGTAATCTGAAAACAGTTACTTTCGTAAACCTGAGGTGAATACATTTTGGATTACTTATTGGAATTATTGGTGGAAAGATTTCCTCACATTTAATATTCATTACTAAAGGTACAGCCGAATCATCAAAGCCCACAAAACCTATTACCGCCGCAGATGGACCAAAAAAGCGTTTGAAAAAAAATCGCGGGTCCGCTCAGTGAAACAATAACAACGAAACATGGAGGAACAAAAGTCTGCGATTAAATCGCGTGTGTGTGTGGTTAAAAACACATCAGCCTGCGGTCGCTCTTTAGCCTTACTAATGATTATTTCTGAAGGTAAACACAGTGAAGGCGGTGCGTGAAAGGCGATGCGCACTCGTCTTCTCAGAGGCTGAGTTAACCCTCCCGCTGCCTCCTGGTGCTGCAGAGATTTCATGAAGTGAAGGAGGTTTTCCTTCTATAAAACAGCTGCGGGCAGCAGATACTGTGAGTGTCACAGACATGAATACATAGATCAAGGCAGACTGGTGCACACACTCTCCTCTCCTGTTTTGCCAATCCGGTGCTTAAACAAATATAGCTCTAAACCCCTGGCCGAAATGTCCTTAAAATGAAGTCAGAGTTCGACATTTTAATTCATGTCCTGCCAACACTGGCAGGACAGAAGGCGACACGCCCTTTCTAAGCCATGTCCTCACATCCCAAGCTGCATCCCCAAAAAGTGTATTATGTTGTTACATCGTTTCAGATGTAATGTTTCAGTTGTGCTCTTGATAAGCCATTAAAAGAAACAGTAAAAACACGTTCAGTTTCCTTTTGCTTTTTGTGTCTCCTGTTCACCAAAACATACCCATCTGTGATGGAAAAAGAAAGTAATCCAAAGTAATCTGATTACGTTACTTTTTTAAGACACGTAACTGTATTCGGATTACTTTCAGAGCCATGTAATCAGTAACTGATTACATTTACAAAGTAACCCTCCCAACCCTGCGTATATATGATGGCAAATAGATCATCAAGTTTTTATTCAAAACTGTACATACAAATGTTTTTGCCAGGTTAGAGTTCAGATTAGCCTCCTGCTGGCTTAATCCTGAAGCAGAGAATACTTTTTGTTAATGCTAGTAACCTGAGGCTTTTACAAAAAGTCATAAACCACAAAAGTAGTACAAAAACTATAAAAAAACATGTTTTATTTTTGTTCTACAGATATAAGATTCTCAGCTAAATTGTATGATATGTCTTATGCCTTATTAGTCAGCAGTTTTATTTTATGAAGAGAAAAGAAAGAATATCTATTGTAGATCAATTTTCATCCTCACTGAAGAAGCTGACGAGGCACTTTGCAGCGTTTGTAATATAATCTGTAACCATTTCAGGAATCAATTGTATTTATTGAATTGTCATACACTTTCTGTAATACTTCAAACTGACACAACTGTCTGCAGGCTCATGTCTGGAGTTGAGACAGATCTGGAAACAGTCACCAGTCTGCAGTCCAGTCTGCTCCACAAGCTGATGGGTTTTAAGTGAATATAATTAATAATATAATGACATATTCCCTCATGATGATACATGTTTCAAATGTGCATCTAAGAGTTGTAATCGGCAGCAGGTATTATGTATTCCTGCAGGACACTAAACTACTGAGCCCAATACTGAATGACAATTAGGTAAGCTGGTTTCTCAACCCGCCATTCAATTTCCTGAGCCGAGTCGGGGATACCAACTATGCCTTCACACGGTGTAAAGACTCTTTTCGTCTCTTAAGAATACTTGTCCTTGGAGGGAAAATCCTGTTTGATGGGTCCTGATTGCAAGATCCAAAGCCTGTTTCCCAGAAGGCCAAGCTCTCTCTGGTTTCCCCAGCTCCGGCCCTCCAGGGTCAGTCCTCGTCGGAGGAGAGCTGCGTTCCTTCGTCGTGAACCTCTCTGTAGGCCGCCATGGGGCCGCCGTCAGGAGTGTAGCTCCCCACAGAGACCTTCAATCCCTCCGACAGTTTCTGGGCTGCCAGCTTGGCGTACAACTCCTGGAATAAAACACAGAGAAAAAGTTGACATGAATAGGCTGGTAAGAAGAAAACAAGCACATTATTATTAAGCAGCGCAGCCATTAAACCCTCAACAAAAGTAGAACTGATAATAAGCTTAACAGGCTTCTGTTTCAACAGCACACTGTGTGACGTTTGGCCCTTTCTTTTGGATGTGATGAGACACACAGCGCCACACTGTCTGAACACTGCCCTCTACAGCTGATGGAGGGATCTGAAGTGGACTTTACTGCAATTCCTTCTCAATTACTCCAATGGATTTTGAATCCAGGTAAAGTATAAACACCAAACTTACCATTGTCAATAAATGTTCATTTTCAATTACATGTTTCATAAAATATATTTTTGCACATTCATGGCGGCCAGTATTTACATTTTTCAACTATGACATTGTAATGAATATACAATATTACACATTTTATTTTTTTATGCAATGCAGCAAATTCTTAGTTATTGAAAACCTAATTAGTTTAAACTGGATAAATCTGTATCATACATTTGCATTGAAACTCAAAGACACTGTGGTTATCTATTAACCTTATTACCCTTCACATTATGATTGGAATAATTTAAATTGCTGTATGAACAAAGGGAAACCATTACTGGTCAAATATATATCTATAATGTTTCTAACAGGAACATTGCATCTTATGTATTGCTTACCAAATGACATTAAGGCTGTGAAACATTTTGGCTTTGGGTGTGAAATATCCCGTTACTGTAATTCTCCAGGATGCGGAGGACTCCAGCAAATAAAACCAGCTCATCTTTTCTTAGAATGAAACATCAATGGACAAATATGTGCAAGACCACCTTTCTGATCATTATTAAGTAATATAAACATTGCATTCATACTATTCACATTATAATTGTTAAAAAGATAAAATGAGGGTGCTAAAACAACTGAATTAAAAATAATGATTTCCGATCATATAAAACATTGTTCAGGGTTTAAGTCTGATAAACCCTTAAAATAATCCACCTGTTACTCAAACTTGAATTCCTTGCTTGTAATTTCATTCATTTTTTGAACAAGGCTGTTTTTGGTCTGCCAAATATTTGTAATTCACTTTGTCCGATAGCAACAATGGCATTCAAATATAGTTACTTCATCATGTTACTCATAGATATATATAAACACTAGATGGCTCATGGGAGATTTTCCAGCGTAGCTGACCGGCCGCCATCTTGCTACAGTTAACAGTTACTCTGATATGGTAGCTGTTGTAAGGTGAGTGATCTGCACAAAAATACTCTTAACTCGCTGAAATCTTGACTGATTTACAAACGGTTTGGTTTATTATAAACATTATTATGATACGGGATGCTTGGACATGTTGAAATTGCAGCTTTTCTTTGTGTATGTGGTTGTATTTATTAGCTGGCTAATAACAAGAGGCTGTGAGTGAGACCTAGTATTACAAAGTTGACCCAGCAACTTTACACGAGTGGGAGAGGCAGAACTGCTCTTTCTTTTCAACATAACTTAAGTTACACATGATTTCTTCCAAGTGGTTTGGCTTGTTAAAAACATCTTGCATTATGATACAGGAATTTGCTGGCTTTGTGTTTACAGAAGTACCTGACTATGCCGGACTTTTGTGCAGCCTACGGATGCTCTAATCACCGCAGTCTGCAAACAAGAACCCGTGGGATCACCTTTCACATGTAAGATATGACAATATTATGACTAAAATTAGGATAATTGTTAATTACTTAGTGGATGTATGTACATTACAAGTCCTGCTACACAGGATCAGTGGGGCTATGTGAGATAATAGTATTGCAAGATTGTTGTTGACCCAGCCTCTTTAGAATATGTTGTTACCATTTCTTTACACAATTATTTAATGTTTCTTTTGGACACCTTTTTTATTACTCTTAGTGTGGTTGTCTTATTCTTAAAGTAGGCTATACATTAGTGCTGTAGCGACGCGTCGACTTCAAAATATCGTCGACGACATATTTCCTCGTCGACGCGTCGCTACACACACGTGGGTCACCCAAAGCAACAAGCAGTTCGCAATCGCACTTCAAACACAATGGAGACTGAAACGGCTACCACCTCCTCCTCACAGGATTGCGCACGAAGCCCCCAAACGAAAACATCTCGCCCTAGGTCTTCAAAAGCATGGGAATATTTTAAAGTTAGTCCAAAACGCAAAGATATTTATATATTTATATCTCACTGAGACTGCTGCATAGCCTAGCAGAAGCAGCAGCTAGCTGTGGTGGCTACCATTAGCAGCAAAGCATTTGCTCTCCGATTTTTACATAAAATGGAATTATGGATTATAAATTCAATCATTTTTTTATACATAGACGTTAAAAACCTATGGATTAACAGATTCAGCCGCGTTTTTTCTCATTTTAATGCCATTGAACACGTATTTTGATCAGATTGACAGCTACGGCGGTGAGACGATCTCCCTAGAAGCTCTGTGAAGGTACGTGTTGTGATGACTGTATTTGCTTCCCCTGTCGCGAGTCCGGATCACTCAGTGATGATACTATGTACCTACATAATCTGTGGAGTCTCAGCTTTAATCGGATATATTGTATGTGCAGCTACGATAAGTAATAAGGGTACTTTTATCTTGAGTTCTGTGCCAATGTCCGTTAGCATTTTTCGCTCAGGGGTCATTTAGATGCTTCTTATGAGATTTGTGTTTTGTTTTGGTAAACATGGTTTGTATCGTCAGTTAGCTGAGATTATTTCCGTTAATCTGGTATAACACATTAATAGGTTCTTAAATATTAAGATCCCCTGAGACACAGTATCGTGAAAAAAAAAATTTTTACATTACGTTTTTTATGAATTGAACAACAGAAAAATAATCGTTCGATTAGTCGACTAATCGATCAAATAATCGCCTGATTAATCGTTTTCAAAATAATCGTTTCCCCCCAGCACTACTATATACCTATATAATCTGTGGAGTCTCAGCTTTAATCGGATATATTGTATGTGCAGCTACGATATGTAATAAGGGTACTTTTATCTTGAGTTCTGTGCCAATGTCCGTTAGCATTTTTCGCTCAGGGGTCATTTAGATGCTTCTTATGAGACTTGCGTTTTGTTTTGGTAAACATGGTTTGTATCGTCAGTTAGCTGAGATTATTTCCGTTAATCTGGTATAACACATTAATAGGTTCTTAAATATTAAGATCCCCTGAGACAAAGTATCGTGAAAAAAAAAATGTTTACATTACGTTTTTTTTACATTACGTTTTTTATGAATTGAACAACAGAAAAATAATCGTTAGATTAGTCGACTAATCGATCAAATAATCGCCCGATTAATCGTTTTCAAAATAATCGTTTCCCCCCCAGCACTACTATACATACATGCATACATACCAAAAATATGATAATTTCGGTGTGTATTTTTGTCCTTACCCTTAATGTTAAAGGAAAGAAGGGAGGAAAATGTTGACAATTTATATATCTGGCTACCTTTCTCATGTTTTTAAGGTTTCCCAAAACCGAAGAGAGGAGGAGGCAGTGGGAACTCGCCCTAAGAAGGGACGGTTTTGTTTCCTCTGACAGGACACTGCTCTGCAGTGAGCACTTCAGGAGTGAGGAATTTGACCGGACAGGGCAGACTAATGGCGAATCGCTACCACTAGGAGCATATATCGCCACCTACTATGTATTTATTAAATCTTCATGTTCCATGAGACGCAGCACTATGTTCCCCACATATGTTTATGTTTGCTCAGTCTAATAAACCCATAACATGGTTGTGAAAGAATACCAAAGCTGAGGCTGGACGATGATTGATTGTTGGTGTGCCATGTGTCACCGTGTGTCTTATTGGTTTTGTGTTATACTGTATTTTATTGTGTGCAGCTGGTCCTTATCTCCAAGACACATTTAAAACAAATAACCTTGAACCTTGAAGCCCCATCTCTCCCCACCTGCTCCTGCTTCCTACATCCCCTCCACACCACACCAAGTTGTTCTTCTTAATAATAATAATAATAATAATAATAATACATTTATTTTGGGAGGCCGCCTTTCCCAAGGACCCAGGGACACCTTACAGGGGCATAGGGGCATAATAGGGAACAATTTAAACAGTGGATTTTGTGATATATCAGCCGGGGTGAGACAAGACAAACCACAGAAGGACACAAAAGGACACATGGTACAGTTTATATTATTCTTGGTCTTTTTTCAATAACATATTTCAAAGGTTCTGGATTTGTTTACAAATCTAGAAACTAAATACAAAACTAGTATAGTAATATGAAGATCTCATGTCAAAAATAATTGTGATAAATTAGACAGAACTGGCCTGTCTGTGAGCACATTTTATGTTGGTTTGGTTCTTCTGATAAAGGTGTGAATATCTAAATAATATACCAACATATGCTATTGTCATTAGTTGTGTCCCTGTTCTTAAAGCTAAGGCATTGCTAAATTAACAACTCTTGGCTTACAGAGTGGTAACATGAGACCGATTTTTATATATAAAATATAAATGTATTTTAATTTTATAATTTATTTTAAATATTAACAATAAAATAAATGGAAATATATACACCGGCAAATATTTAATATAAATACCTTGTGTGTGTGTGTGTATAGCTATTGCTTTATCTGATTAATGTTATTTTCATATGAAAGTCCATGATTATAAGTATGCAGTATCATAACTACATCTTTGATGTTTATAAAAAACCAAACCGTTTGAAAATTGGTGGAAAATTGAGCAAGCTATGGTTATTTAAATAGTAAACCATAATGTTATGAATAACTCCCTGTAGCAAGATGGCGGCCAAGTGGCAACGTCGGTCTCCATTGGCCAGCAGCGCGGGTGAGTGATCTAGTGTTTATATATATCTATGATGTTACTACCCAGCATAGTAAGGAGCATTTTTCATTTGAGAGAAAATGTGCTTCTGGAATGATCTGACCCCTCCGTCTGCCGACACACACACTGGATGCATAAGATAAGAGTGTGGAGGGCAGGGCTGCACTAACCTGCTGCCTTCTGGTTTGATCCTGCTGTAGTGAGGCGGACTCGTGCAGAGACAGAAGCTTGGCCGGACTGTAGATCAGAGGAGGCATTTTGGCTGAAGTGATGTCATCCAGGTGCTTTCTGTCCCGCTCCCTCCTGGCCTGAGCTGATAGCGGTGATGATGCTCCAGAAGAGCGGCTGGGTGATGAGGATCCTGATGGAGAGGGGTCACCTCTGTCGGGCAGCCTGAAAACACAGTGGAGAACATCTTATTTAAAATAAGAACTATGAAATAAAGCAAAAATAACACACTGTTACTGAATGAAATCTACATAAATGTATATGCTTTTTTGGTATATGTCAAAAGTCATTATAACATCATGAAAAAAAGTCAACTCACTGGTTTGGTTTAAATCTTTGCTTCCTGGGTGCTGAAGTGTTCTCCGTTCTTTCCAGGAGAGTAACATGGTGAGGCTGATTTGGTATTTGCTTTTTGAGAAAGTAATTGTCTCTTGCTGGGATGTTTACTGGTTCTTTAATTTTTAAACCTGTAGTAGTTTCAGACAGTCTGACCCGTTCAAAGGCCTCAACAAGGTCCCCGTCTTGCTTTCGCTCATCAGAGGTCAGAGAGACCCCAGCCGCTGCCGTCTCCATGGTTTCACCAGCAGCTTCTCTGGAGTCAGACTTGTCCTGTTGCTCGTACAAAGTGTTTCTTTCCTGCACCTGAGCTGAGACAGCATCTCCTGCAGCAGCCACACTTTGCCTGTTTTGTTGTGAGGCTGTGGGTGCATTGGGGACACCACGTTGTGACGTGAAAGCATGTTGGTACTTGGACTGTAACTCTTTCCTGGCAGCAAACACCAGGCTCTGTTTCTTCTCATCTTCATCAAAGTGTTCAATGGCAAGGTGCACTTTCTCTGCAAATTCTCTTATCTTTTTCCCTTTGTCAGGAAGACTCTGTAAAAACCTCCTACGAACAACACAAAAACATTATCTGATGTTTTATTCTAACAGTTGACATTATTACCATATGAGAGAGCCTTATGCTTGTTTACAACAGTAGAGATGATTTGTTGAGTTGTAGAAAGCAGCATCTTCTGTTATAAGAATGTCAACATACGCCTCGAAGTCAAACATTAGTTAAGTCACAAACTTAGCTACAGCTTCAGCCCTCTCGGGTATAATATATAGACGGCACAAACTATGGCTGATAATAATGAAACTCACGTGTTCGAGAGTATCTTTTCCTGTCGCAGAAGCAGTTCTTGGAGCTCCTCTTTGCTCTGTTTCCCCAGATCTCCCACCCGTCCCTGCCGCTCTGTCCACGACGAGGACATCACTGTTAGCTATTGACAGCTAGCATTAGCTAACATTAGCTACACACATTCACAAACAGTGTGAGCTAATGTCTCAGTTATACACGCCGGACATAAACTCTTACCATACATTAACCAGCTCAAAAGCAAGCTGTTTACTGATACTTTTGAAGTTAAAGAGTTTAATAAAGCTGTAAATGCGACAGATGTACTTCTTCAACACATGAGACCACAACAATTCAATGTGGGACCCTTCTTCTTCGTGTACGGAAATGTGAGCTGTAGCCACAGCGCCCCCGCTGTACAGGACAGTACTGCAGCTCTTCTTCATGTCATCATGAAGAGGTCACGCTGAGCCAGGGAAGGTAATTTGCTGCCCTCTGTTGTTAAAATTCAGTCATTATTAATCCTAAATTTAGATTTCAAGAGTTGTGATTTCCAAACTTTATCACAGACTCAGGGTCCAGATAAAAGACAATGCATTACACATATTACATTACAGACAACATCGCAATAACTCATGCTTAAAAAAGAATAACAATCTCTATCCTACAAAGACAACTTGTCTCTGCAGCTTTGATTGGTAGCTTGTATTACTTTGTATGTTTGATAATCGAAATATGATGATAATGTGATGAGACATTAATTGGTATAAAGATTTTCACATGAGATTCCTTAAGACAGTTTGTAGAGTATTGACTCCTGCAACCATAAACATTTTACATGTGATACACCATTTTGAGGAATATTCTCATTGCATCATTAAAAGGTACTCAAAGCATACTTGCCAACCCTCCCGATTTTCGCGGGAGACTCCCGATTTCACTGCCCTCTCCCGGTTTCCTCCCGGAGTTATATTTCTCCCGTTTTTCTCCCGATTTCTGACAAAATCAGATTTACTCACGAATGTTTCCACTCGGACTTTAACACAGCTACACCATTGTTTGGTTTCCATGGTAGCGCGTCTCTTTAGTAGCGCGCGCAACTGAAAGTATGAGAGGGTGAGGCAGATAGTCACAGAAAACAGAACAAGAATCGACAACTCTACCCTCTGCTCACGCCTTTAAGTCACTGTAAGCATGCATTTCTGTAGTTTTACCACAAGAGCGCATCATAGAGTGGCCTAACATATTCACTCTGTCTGTGCATACACTACATTTCCTAAGAATAATAAGAATTAAATGTCAATAAACTCATTAGGTTTTTATGTAATATGTCTTTATTTTCTCCAATCAGAGCTGTCGGTCTGAACAGGTTTCAGAGTCTCAGAATTTCCACAGCTGCATTTGCCAGGCCGGATGTTTCCCAAACATTGTGCCAAACCATTTATCTATCAGCGCATGAAACAATGACCCAACTTCAACCGAGAGGTTACAGCTGTGTCCTTATTGTCCCCTCTCAGAGTTCACAGTCAGTTTAACGTTTGGCTGCAGCTGCTTGGTTGGAAATGAATAACATATTGGCAGACTTTACCTTTTCAATTATTTTGAAAGGACATACTTTTATTTTCTTTATGTTGCTTCTCTATTTTCTTTAATGCATGCAATAGTGATTCATGTCCTTTGTATCAAGTACGATTTCACCAGACACTGTCAAACATTGATATCTGTCTTACATTTAGCAGTTTTCTCCACATGTTGTAATTAAAATCCAACAAACAAATAAAAACTGATATTACATAAGCTGCACTATGTGATCCTGAGCATGAATGTTATACTTTATTGATAATATCACCAACTGCACACCTTTTGTCTTTCTAATTCTGATCTTACCTATGTTGTCCATTTGTCAAAACGTACTACACCCAGCTCTAAAGATTTTTGAACGTTTCTTTTTTTTGTAAATCAACACATTTTCATTTTTTTTAACATCACTGATCTCAATAACCGTTCTAACGCAACGTCTGGCCTCACAGTCAACTATTCTATCTTCTTTGCACAACCAATACAAGTTGTTACCAGGCAACTACAGATTTGCATTATGAAGCCTGTATAAATAATGTACCGTAAATTATAAACACTGTACAGATGACAGTTCCTAAAATAAAGTCGCTGAACTTTTCCTTACTTTAAAGTTCATCTAGATCCATGTTCACACGTGACATTAAGTGTGAAATTGAATCATTAGAATGGAAGGAATACAAACCATTTAAAAAAGGCATGATACCTAAAGGCAGAGGGATTCACATCAATGAACAATGAAGTAGTCTAAACAGGCCTGAGAAAATGTATAAGGTTGCACGGTATATAAGGGATGCCATAAACAGGTTGTACTTACACCGTAAAGTCTTTATTATCCAAACATATGCTAGCCTGTTATCATTAGTTGCAGTATGATATGTATCGATAAGGAAAAGGCACATCATAAAGCTCTTTTAAACACAGTGGCAGTGCAGACAACAGCTGGGTAATAATTGTGCCTCTGGCTCAGGGATGGCAGTCACCTCGGTAAGGTATATACATTTAAAGTGATTAAACAGTCTTATCATTAGCACATAAATGTACTTTCAATGACATACTAGATTACCCTGTAGCCAACTCATTATAGAGATTCATTCCCACCAACAGAATCAGATAGTAGGATGTTCACAAAGGCACAAAGCAAGGTAATACATATTTTGTTCATAAGGTGACAATACCAAAACAATATTCATTTCATTTGTACAGAGCCAATATAACTGTAGGAATATAAACAATAACCAGCCTTCAGGACTGAATACTCATCGCTCTGTGAGCAACACAAGTGGACTTCATTCAGTGTGGACACAGAAATATTATCCATAAGTACATTATTTACAAAATACTTTTACAGAGTATTATATTATTTACACCCTACAACAAGCCACATTTTATTATATATAATAGTGCGACATGAGAACATGGGCTCAAAAGCTACACAAAACATTTTGCATGTCACTTGTAGTTATTTTTTTAAGATAACCAGCAGTGAAATAGGAATGAATACATTTGAGTTTTAAATAAACTTTTCAAGATTTTTGGAAAATTAAGCTTATTTGATAGTTTGCCAATAGTTAGAAGAGAGAGAATATACCACTGTCTGTATGATTAATGTGTAACTGCACTTAGCTTAGCTTTAACCGAAGCAACACATTACTGTACAGTAATTGCAGATACATTTAGCTAAGATTAGCATAAAGACTGAACACATGGGATATAACTAGCTGGATTGCACTATTTCTTGGCTGAGATCAATAACTCAAGTCCCCACAGATGTACAACAATCCACCAGTAGGCCATTTAACAATTTAGTTAACTTCTTGCCCAAGACATCTAAACACCCGTATAGTCTTTCACAATTCACAAATAATAAAAAAAGAGTTTAAGAGTTTTGTTAGACAAAACCTGCAGACCAGCTTGTCAATTCTTTTTTCTTCAGTTTTTCTGCTAAACTAAGCTAATTAGCTACTTTTTTAGCTTTCTTAGTTAGATTCAAAATTACGAGTGGTATCAATCGACTAATTCACCTTTCAGCAACAACATGTCAAACTATGACTTCAAGATCTATCTATGTTTATCTTTGCTGTTATATCCATAAGTTTCATGAACGGTGTATAAACCTGAGGTGCTCGTGATCTTGGTTGAGAGGACGGGGAAGAAGTGGATTCCTGAGGACTTGATCTTGTGTCTGTGTTTGGTTTTGCGTCCACCTCATCTCTCCCGGACTGGACTGGACTGACAGCAGGCTCAGATTCAGACGGGTGGGGGTAGCTTAGCGTCCCACCCGGTACAGAGGAGTTGGCCTGCAGGTACCGGCTGTATTGCACAGGAGTGTACCTCAGTAAACTGGAGTCTAGCCTACTGGGTGGAGGGTTATTAAACCTGGACATCCTGGGTTGGGTGGTTGCTAATAGGGAGTGGAATGGAGTTTGAATGGGGGATGTAAGAGATGAAGGTTGCATGGAGGGTGAAGGTTGAATCGAGGAGGATGTTTGTATCAAAGTTGGAGGTAAAGTGGGGGGTGAAGGTTGAATCGGGGGTGGAAGGTGTTCGGGAAACACAGGTAGAGTGAATGATGGAGGTTTCATTGGAGGAGGAGGTTGAACAGGTGGTGGTTGTTGAATGGGATGTAGATTAGTTGCTTCATAGTGAACAGGAGGTTCAACATCATTCCTTTTTTCTTCATGTCTGCAGATGCACAGTCAGACATCAAAGAGTGAGAAATCACCTCCAAATGATGCACCAAATTAAACCTGATGCTACTTAAACATGTTTCTTTCATTTCTTCTTACCCAGGGAGCAGATTGCACCCTACTCCTATCTCGTTGGTTTCTCGCCTATTCTGTGTGGACATAAAATACTTCAGCTTGTCTTCTAATTCATTATTCTGGGAAAAGGAAAACAGGAAACAACACTGTCAGGTCAGGCACATGCAAAGGATGGCAGCCACTTTCCATGTGAAAGTGACTAGATAGGTGCAGTGACATGAGGAAACCAAACAGAAATAGCTGAAAGTTGAGCATTTAGATTTCACAGCAACCCAGACAATCCTCTTTGCTGTAGTCATGCAGTAGATTACCATGCCACACCAAACTAAAGCACACAGTTAACACACAGTGAAGCATCTGTCCTACCCTTTATATAAACAGTCTTTGGCCTTACCTCACACTCCACCATCGCAATTCTGTCCAGAAGCTCTGAGATGAACATGTCCTTCTGTGCCACTTTAGCTCGCAGTGATCCAACCTAAACAAATAGGAGATTGGAAATTAAGCTTAGCGCAAGTTCAAGAAGGAAGACCATACCCCCTGGTGTTACACGTCACTGCAAGCTCTTCTCCCATTAAGTAATCAGGGGCGGTACTCCCCAGCTAGCAATCATTGCACCTGCTAAACCCTTTAAATCTGCTCTTCCCTCTCTGTCAGTTGTCATTTCAGGTGTCAACGCACAACCCGCCTCCACCCCTTCGCCTCCTGTCTCCTAATTCAGGGCCAAGCTAATCCTTCTTCCTCCAAACCAGACCGAACCATTATCACCACCACCAGTGTCTAGACCCCGGGGGGTTCATCGGAGCGGTTTTCCCCTCCTGAATGATATCCTACAAACCGGGGCCTAATCTCCAAACATCAGTTGATTCATTGTTGTAATCTGTCAATCATAATTTTCTATACCACGTGTCCGGTATTAAACATGTATTTCATACATCACGTCTCTCATGATTGAAACAATGATCATGTGTTTTCAGTCAGCTCATATTCATTATGCATTTAATATTGGAAATGTGTATGCTGGCTAGCAGACAAATCTAACATTGATGCATGTCCGTGTGATATGCCGTGCAATAAAGACTTTGTAGTACCCTTTGATAAGACTGTATTGTGAGATGTACTAATTCAACACTGTTCCTATTTCCCCCAAATATACTACAAAATGACATAGTTATTTTCAGGAATATTCTTGGAAAGTATTCAGAAAGTTCAAACCCATACAAACAAAGTGTTACCATTGGCAACAGAAATAGTCCAATAATAATCCATGCTAGATACTTAATGAGGGAAAACCAAACTGTTTTATGTACTCAAGAATTGTCAGCTAAGATACTAAAAATGCATCTTAATCACTAACCCTTTATCTTTAGATTGTGAGTGTTTAACTGAGCCAGTGTAACACCCCACCCTTCCTTGACTCTGGGTTATATTACGTTTTATATTCATTGTGTGCATTGAATTCATCCATACACTGCTTGGTAAACAAATTCCTTCTTATTCAGCTGATATCTCATCCACACCCATTATTTAAACACAAGTAGGACAGAAGACCTGAACAGTATTCACACACAGATTCAGACAGATAAATAAACCCTCCCCACCTCCTCAATCATTCCTTTGACTTTTCTCTGCTGGCAGAACACCATATCGTTCAAGTGTTTGATTCTCTCACGGAGAGCCACAGATTCCGATTGCAGCTCTTTTGACCTAAACAGAAACGAGCAACCAGTTAAACTCACATTTACTTATATTAATTACGATGGTAAAACAGGGTTAATCTTTTTCCAGAAATGTGTGGCCAGGTCAGGTGCTTCACAGATTGAGGTTAAAAACTTAAGAGGGAAACTGCAGCCCACAATTTTGCAGCCTTTATTGAAATAGTACAAATCCTAATGCACTAATGTGTCTAAAGGTCATTAATCTAGTGTACTACCAAAACAAGATGGTTTTTTTAAGCATGAAAATGTATTCTTGAACCTGGAAATAGTCACAACTTATGGTCCTCCAATTAGCTTTTCTTAGGATTTTCTACTTTTTGTCCTGACAAATGACTTAAAATGTTTAAGATCTAATTCAGTGACAACTTGATACCTGCTTCTGGTTGTTAAGTTAAAAGTTCAAAAACAAAGCTAGTAAGTGGAATTTGGTTTAAAGGTGGGGTAGGTAAGTTTGAGAAACCGGCTCGAGATACACTTTTTGTTATATTCGATGGAATGCTCTTAACATCCCGATAGCAATGAATATCTTAAGTGCTTTGACAAAAAATCCATAAAAAAATGTCATCTGTGGAAGCCGTAGTACTGTAAAAAGCACGACCAATCATTTTAGTCGGCCCGGCTAAAATAACTGGATGGCCTACCTGCCTGTCAGCCTTCCATCTGTGCACAAACTTATGCCCTCATTGGTCATGTGCACGTTCGTGTGTGTTGGAGGAGGGACTCTGTAAGGAAGTGGCAGATTTCTTCCGGCTGTGTATTTTCAAATTCTAGTGCACTTGAGCTGGTTTCTCCAGAATTACCTACCCCACCTTTAAGCCCTTTTTGTCATACTGGTGTTTGTTTACAACGACGATATTTTCGTACTTTTTGGCGACAGTTGCATCAGTTGTGTCTGTAAGCTCCATCAAGCGAAGACGTTGTTCACATTCCTGCAGCTTCTTATGGAACTGAGTCTTTTCCTGTGAAAAGTAATTTTCAAGTTAAAATATCTGAAGTAATTCTAGGGTGATTATTTTGTGGGAAAAAACTGCCTTACCCTCCCCATACACTCAAGTAGACGCTCCAGTTCAATTATCCTCTGGTCCCTGTCAGCAATCTTGGCCTCTGCAATCCTGATGTTTGTCTCTGCCTCCTCCAGTCTCCTTATGTACTCATCCAGTTGGGCCTGTGTGAGCAGCAATACATTTCGGATTAGACGATGAACTTCAATGATAATCAAGAATGTAGCATCTACATTTTTCTCAGTCAGGTTGGTTTCACTTTGGAGAACATTTATCACTGCGTCATAATCTTTTTAGCTTAACACAATAGTTTATATTGGCACTGAAACAGCATTTTGATAAGTTGAGGAACAAATAGTAAGGAATGCAGACCTGTAGGTTTTCGATCTCCTCCCTGTGAGTCCGCTGTTCATTCTGCAGCTTCTCCTCGTACTCCTGCTGTAGCTTTGCTGAAAGCTCCTGCAGCGCCTGATTGTTGGCCTCCTGTGCAGACTCCACCTGGACAATCACAGCAGAGCAAGAATCAGGCTGATTATTCCATATTGACACTAGAATGGAAGATGCAGCTGATGTGTTAGTGTGCTGAAGTGAGATAGTCTTTCAGTAAATCTTGTACTGCTCTTTTCTTATGAGTAATTTCCATCTACAATGTTATTAACTCATTAGACAATTTTAGAACCAACCTCTGTCACACCAGCTGAGTAACAAGTACTGTATCTCCATGAATGTGCCAGAGCAGGTATTTCTACTGTAGTGTTTTGATGTTTGTGAGATAGATGTCTGATTACCTGCAGCCTTAAAGTCTTGTTTTCAACCTGCGCGGCCTCCAGCTCCTTCTCCTTCTCTCTGAGTTGTTCTTGTGTTTTTTCACTGGTGCTGCGCAAACTCTTCACATCGTCTCTCGTGTCCACTCTTCTCTGACAGTTTTCTATAAGAGATTTCTGCAAAGGAAACTTGTATTTATCAAGCCATCTCTTTCTGTAATGACACACCACTGTCGAGGAACCCCTCTTCACATACACTCAAGGACATTGATTTGTTACCTGTAGGCCAATGTTAGCAGTTATAAGGGAGCTGTTCATCTCATCGAAGCTGTCCATGGCTTCCGTCCGGACCCTCACCTCTGACTCCAGACTCATCCGATGTGAATTTGCAGTCTGCAGAAACACATGTCAGACTCTATTTTAGTCTTTATTCACAGCTTGACATACTTGGAGTTTGATTAGGAAGTTTGGAGAAGTCACACAGTGTTACATAATTAATTACCCTGATCTCCTGTGTAAGACTCTGCATGGATTGCTGCATTCCTCCGAATTGCCCGTACATCTTCTCTCTCACCTTCTCTAAAGAATCCCTCACCTGTACAGAACATACAAATATTACATACAGTAACAGACATTGTACACACATAGCTGCCTTGAACAGATGACATGTGGACCTGAAGGCCCAGATGCTTGCTGTGTTAGTTTCCACTCACCTCCCTGATGTACTCCATCTCACGCTGAAGGTGATTGACCGACCACTCGCGCGCCATCACTTCCTGCTGTCTGTCCGAACCCGTCCTCTGCACTACGCCGTACACTTTGGGCCCATGATTCTGCAGAGCGGTCTCTGGCGCCCCATTGGTCATGTCTCCGAGCTGCTGAGGGAGACAGGATCTCAGCGGTCAGGTTTCTGTGGCCACCCTCCACTGAGGCTGACTTCTGCTGTCATTGTGTTTGTGTAATTGTGTGCTCGCTTATGTGCACGCATGCACTCTTTTAAGTGAATTACATGTTTGTGTCTCGATGCACATGCCTGCATTTGTACACTTGCTCAGGTATTTCTAGCATTACTGCTGCTGAGCACTGGAAACAGGAGGATGGGAACAAACCCATAGAAAAAAGTGCAGGGTGTATTGGAGGTGTCATGTTTCTGCAACTCGGTACATGAGCTGCTGCTGTGTCTGCCTATTGTACTTCCAGCAGCCGGGCAACCCATGAAAACAGATGCAAACCAGCAGGGGAGAATTGAAGCATTTTAAACAATGCAAAAACTAAATAACAAACGACAGTTTTAGTCATGGGCACAGAGATTCAATTTCTTTAAATATTGTAGTGCTGTAGAGCAAGAGGCTAATGTTTTGCCTGGGAATTAGAAAGAATCTTCGGTTTATATACAGTTGGAAAGAAAAAGAAAAATCTAATTTATTACAGTCATCTACAAGCATCTGTTCATGTTGAATATCGATGTAATCATTATAATGACAGCCTGAAGGTATGTGCAGTGAAGCGTGTTTTACGATGGGGATGTCAGTGACACACAGGCGTAGGCAGTGGTAGTGTCAGGCTATTATTCATGTGCTGGATGTTGCTGTCTACCTGCGGAGGAGACTCCCTGCCAGCTGGCCTGCCTCTTTGGGTCAGCCCATTCTTCTTCTTCCATGCCACTCTGACATCCTTCTCCTTCTCAGCCTAAAGGAACAAACAAGTATTCAAGACTGCTGTTGTAGAAAATTCACTTCATTCCTGGTGAGGATCTATAAAAGAAGTGTTAATATTATTGTGCAAACATTCCACAACACCGATACCTTATAATTAGCAAAGTTTCCACACGTCACATGTAGACAAGCTGCTCTCTCAACAAGACACGTAATGCAAGCAATCTGTTATGCTTCTTTTTTAGTTGCAATTTTTAATGGTACTTACAGTAGTTAATTGGAGATCATGTGGTAGGTATTGGAAGTGGGCCTGTCTTTAAAATGATCAAGACATATCAACTTGTTTTCACTTTAATTGCTTTTGCAAGACAAATGTCCAGATAGATAGATAGATAGATAGATAGATAGATAGATAGATAGATAGATAGATGGATGGATAGATAGCCCTCATCTGCAGAGAAAGGGGCTTCTCTCTCCACATCTCTCAGAGATAAGAGTGAGGAGGAACTTGAACAAAGCAGCCAGTGTTGTCTCGTGGACAGAGCCGAGCCTCACATTTCTCCACCGCTTCATCTACAGAGGACGTGCTGTTGAGAAATGGTGAAGGCCTGCTAATAGGCGGATGCGAATTCCAGCAGATGGGAGGGAAGAACAGCCGTCTTTATGTTTTAACAACACTGCGGCCTGCGATCTGAGAGAGGGCTCAGATAAACAATGTGCTGTCACTTCAGCCTTGGATTTCACAATGCCAATATTTACCACAATGCAATGTTTACCTGCTTGGAGCTGAAATTGCAGGCATGTCATTTTGGTGGAAGGAACACAATGGGTTTATTTTTGTTTTGTTGCTTACAGGACATGACCTCCTCACAGAAGCCGCCCACTGCGAGTATCATGTAATCATGCAAAACTTCTTAAAGACGTCACTTGGAAATAGTGCTCGTCACAGCATCATCAAACACTTTGTTATCTGCCTATTTTATTATATGACTGCATTGTGAAGGACACGACTGATTGGATTAGCTCTTATTTCTGATGCAAATAAGAAAGTTGTATTTGAAGTCACAACACAAAGACCGCCTTATGTATGTAATTGGACTGAATCATGTTCACGGTAATGAGGCTTTTAGCCATTGTGTTAATGAAATCCAATGATGTTGATGTAGAAACTTCTATATGAAGTAACTGTCTCTAAGTCCCATGTGTATGTGTTTCATGGTGCAGATTTGTTACATCTCATCTAGGTCATAGTCAGGGGTGCACATGACTTTTTTGCCCTGGTTCTCAAAGGAGCACCTGGAGATGTTGCTTGGTGCTCATCCTTAAAATGAAATAAATAAACCGGTCTTTATTTGTCAGACACACGGCACAGAACACACAGAGGTGAACACAGAACACACATGCAGAGGCGAACACAAGACAACATTAGCACGACCAGTAATCCTACAAGCTGTCATCACTACCCTCCTGACTGTTCTCCTCACTGTCTTCCTCTCTGTCAGACATGGTAGCTGATGATGTAGGCCTACTATTTTCTCTCTGGTTGAGTCTGCGATTAGCTGCTTGCATCCACAAGTCAACAGCTGGTTTTGGGTTGAAAGTCCAGTTTTAAAAGGATATGTTTGGTTACTGTCCTATAGTATACATTGGAATTATTTCAAACCTGTTTATCCCAATAATTATAAAGGAGTGCCTTGAAAATATGTGTTTACATAAATTGTGACCAAACCGTTTGAACTTAGACTAAAGTGAACTATCTAAACACTCAGAGTCCTTTACCTCACTGAGCTGTAGTTATCAGTCTCTCGGTCTGACTGGAGAGGACTCTCCCTCCACATCATTGTAGAAACATCTTCTTCTTATATCCGCACCAGATTCTAATAACAACAGCGCCGGTACCGGTGCACCCTCCCTCTCTCCCTCGCATTTTGGCTGTGAGCTGCGGGCGCCAACATCCCCCATTTTCATCACTTACAGCGCCCATCGTACAGGGCAAATGAAACGTGTAACCGGGGTGAAAAGGGTGTTACATTTACTTAATTGTGAATGTTGTTACATCAAGGCCGAAAATCAGGATGAGCACCAACAGTCAAAAATGTTTTTTTCCCTCCCAGAACTACCAGCGCAGCGCCTCCACAGATCTGGCGCCCTAGGCGAAAATCAACGCCAGTGCGACGGGCCGGCCCTGAGTTCATATGCAACTCGCAAATATCTTTCTCTCTTCTCTCTCCTCTCTTCTCTCTTTTCTCTTCTCCCTTCTCTCTCCCTCTCTCTTAATGTTGGTACGCAAATGCGTTTTTTTTCAAATGACCCGGTGCTCTTTTTTTGGCCGAGGTGCGCATGCGCACCTGCGCACCAGTTATGTGCAGCCCTGGTCATAGTCACTTGTTGGATTGTGCACATGATGTATCAGGTTGCAGGATGCACCCTTTCTTAATTTATGGTGAATAACCACTTTACTAGGGTTTCTCCTGAAACTCAATATCTCTAGCAGAGGAAGCTTCCATCATTTCCTTCCTCTTTGATTAACTTCACGTCATCCCTGTTTTCTTTTTGTTCCACAAAGTCACAAAAGTAAACACTGAAAACCAAGCAACTGACCTACATTTGACTTTCCCTCCAGATTACATCTAAAATCACACATTGAGCAACTTTATTAGAAAAGTGTTGGCTCATAAAAGCACAAAGATGACCCATGTCAAATAAAAACAATACAAATTGTACTGTTAAATCAAGCCTGCTCAACACTGTGCTGGTATTTAAATGCTGTTTTAACATCAACAGCAGAGTAAAGAGTTACGTGTCACAGCAGTTACAGCAGCGCCTGCACAGTTTTTCAGTTAGCATCATCCCACTGGAATCTTTAGCAAAAACATTTTTGGAATTTGGTTTCAATTTAAACAATTCACTTTCTTGCTGAGAGAAGATTTATACCACTCTTAAACAATAAACTATTAAAAAAAATATATATGTAGCTAGCAAAAGTAACAAAAAGATTTAAATCAAGGGAAAACAGCTATCCTGGCTATGTCCGAAGTTGACAAAATATTCCTACAAGAACGTCAAAAGACAATTATTGACACTTTACATCTTCCCATAAAACAACAAATTGTAATTTTCACAAATATTTGTAGTTAACAAATTAAAACATATTATTAAGTAAGCCGTTAAGGTGCTGGGAGGAAGATATTTTTAGACAGAGCCATGCAAGCTGTTTCCACCTGTTTCCGGTCTTTGTGCTAACTGTTGAAAGAAGTGTAAAAGTGAATTTTTCATATTATTATTATTCCTCAAAGGGCCTTTCTTACTATTGTGTTTTACTCTCTACATTCCCTCCTATACATGTTATTGCCCCTCAGGCCTCAGTTGTTTGTAACAACAGTTGCTCTGCTGTTCAGGGAGAATGAGCTGCCCAGTTGCAGGGCTGCAGAGTAACTCATTCACCAAACACACTCTGAAATACACGTCACCACCGAGCACATGTCTGTTACTCTTCACTTGTGATCACTCTTGACCAGACCTCTCACATCAGTTCCAATAGTCACGGCCACACCCTCCAAAGGGAAGCACGTTCAGAGATTGCAGCAACGTGCTATCAGTGGATAGTGTGTAGGTGTGGTTTCTAGACGAACACCATACTCCCTGGCTGACCAAGGTTCATACAAAACCCTAACCATCCACACTTTAAGGACCAAAAGCCTTTTCAGTGCCAACAATAAGTTTAGTATCAACATCAGTTCTCATGCTGGCATCAGCCTCTGGAGCCGCTCCTGGATGCAAACAGGCTGAGGCAGAGCCACCTACAGCAAACAGCCACGCTGCCTGCAGCATGTACTCACAAGTAAAATGCACTGTCACAATATGCAGAGCAGAAACTGTCTAATAATGCAGTTTGGTAAGAACATGCAAATGCTCGTGCTATATTTGTTTAGTTAATAGAGTTTGAGTTCACACTGTGTCAGTCTCAGGAGGTGTGATATAGTTTCTTCAGCAACTATTTCAAATATTTTCTTTTGTATGGAATAGATTTACAGCTTTGAAGTATATTTGAAACAGCTGTGAGTGCATTATCACACCCTCCTGTCATGATTATGTAACTGGTCCAGATGATAAATCTCTGTGGCTATAACTTACCGTTTCCGAGTTTGCTGTTGTTGGCTCCTTGTTTCCATCATCTGCCGCAACTAGAGTTAACCTGAGGCGTCTGATCCTCCTCTGAGAAAAACAAACAGACGAAAAGCAAATAAATTATTTGCTGTAAGCAAATACATGTTTGCATTATGTCATAGTAGGTGGGAGTGGAGGCTATAGAGGAGTTCACACTGTAACTGAGGCAGGCATTGAAAGGGTTGACAAACCTCACAGACCTCAACGGTCCACTACAGTGGTTTTATTTATAGTCAATGGCATCAGAGTGGCAAGCAAAGTTTATGTAAATGATACGAAACTGAGCTTACTGATACATTGTAATGTTTACAACACAGTGAGAGCTTCATTTGGTTGTGTAACACACAAACATCTAGATAGGTTTAAAAGATTTTATTTCAAAAAACGTATTTCTGCAATATCATGTTGAGTTTACCAATTTACAAGAGGTTCTTTATTCAGTACAAAACAATGGGAATAGGTTTAAAAGCCAGTTTAGTACAAAGACCGGTTTTATCAGAGAGCTGTTCAAATAAACATGACAGCCATGCCTCCTGCAACCCAGCTCCCATTACACGCTCCTGTAAATGAACACATCCTATCACAAACATTAACTTTCAGATGATCAGGGAACAGACCATGTTTGCTTGGACTGAGAAAGTGAATCTCACTGTACAGACAAGGAACAAGTGGCTGCACAAAAAGGAGCAGAGGACAGAAGAGGGAGGGGAAACTGAACTGTTTTGCAAAACACAGAGGAAAAGGGAGAGAGAAGGGGAAGACAGAGGGAGAGTTTCAGTGTCCTGACTTCTCTGGGACTTTCTTACCTCACTTGAAAAGTCTTCAGGGTCCTCTGTTGTTGTGGTGCTGGTGAATACAGACCGTCCTGATCCGTAGCGTTGCATGTCTCCTCTTGTGTCCACTCGTTTCTCTTCCTCTCCCTCTCTGGACCTCCTCCCACCCTTCCTCTCGCTACTCTTTCCTGAGTAGGCTACTGCTCAGACTCTCAGAGCGACCATCTGCCCCTGGCTCCAGCCAGCCATAGTAGAGGAAGGAAATTCCCGTCTGTCAAGTATATTAGTGGTGGTGGTGGGGTCCACAGGACTCTGACCTTTCCTCTCTGTCAGTGAAATAATCAGGTGCAATCTAGTTCAACACTCACCAACACAAACACAACTTTGTCATTGTCTTAATTCCAGCTAGACTGCTTTAAACTCCACCAAGTTGACATGGCTTGTCAGTCACTCAGCAACCTCTCGCTCTCTCTGTGTGTGTGTGTGTGTATCTCTCTCTATCTCTCTCTCTCTCTCTCTCTCTCTCTCTCTCTCTCTCTCTCTCTCTCTCTCTCTCTCTCTCTCTCTCTCTCTCTCTCTCTCTCTCTCTCTCTCTCTCTCTCTCTCTCTCTCTCTCTCTCTCTCTCTGTGTGTGTGTCTCTGCATTCCCATCAGACCTGTCGGGCCACTTTTCAGCTGCCTCCCTGGTGTATGCCTCATGCCCTGTGAGAACAGGACATTCACAGGGCGGGTCCTCTTACCGGGACAGGTGGAGCACTTATTATCAACAGAATTGGCTAAAAGGAGGAGCTGTTTATTAATGTGGAACTTCACAGAAAAGGAGTATCCCTCTGTCATCCAGTGACAGCTAAATTATGTTAGTCGTTTTGTGATATTGTAAAATATATGTTTACTAAATAATGTTGGTCTATTTTCTGTTTTATCAAAAGCTTGGTTAAACACTTTGCAATGTAGGAAAGTAACACAGTATGTTGGTTCACATTTGAGGTACCAAGGTATTGAAGTATTTAAAGTTCTTCCTACTTTAAACTTTATTCTACCATATTTCAGAGGAAACTCTACTTCACAAAAAAGTTCTATAGTTACGGTTAGGGTTTAACACACACATGATAATCCCATATTATAAAACATAACAAATGTAACTATGCAACCATATATAAAGCAGTTAAACATAGCAAAATGTTGACCTAAAAAGTACTACTTTCCCATTAATGCATCGATAAAATGAATCCATGTATACAATGATATGACATTTTAACTGCAGGGATCCTCATGAATACTGAGAACTTTAGGGCGTAAACTTTTATTTATAATGGAGTATTTGTTTAGTGTAGTATTGGTACTTTCACAGTACTTTTAAGTAAATGATTCATCCAGTAGTGCCGCTGTGTATAAAATATCTTCTTTGGATTTAATTTAGTCATTTCATGGTTATATTAAAGGTACAGGCGGTGTTTTGTTGTACAGGATATGTTTCAGCCAATAAATTATTGATGCTGTTGATAGTGGATAGTGATGAAAAGGAAGACAACACGGCAATCATTATTTGTTTATGTTATTGTTAAACCTTCTGCTTCACAATTACTCCTTCACTTGGTTTTACACAGTACATTTATACTCATTAGCTGATACTTACTCATCTTTAAGGAACAGAAAGACAAACACCCTCACAACCAGATCACATTCCTGGTTGAAATGGCCTGCAGTCACTCCCTTTTAAATAGAAACTGGAGAAACACTAGCGTCGCAGAGGACAAGGAGCGTCAAAGGCTCGTTCATTAGTATTGCTGTTAGCTGATGTCAAAGTAAATATGAAAAGAAACATGTTCAGAGCAACATAAGGGCTATTTCTACAAGCCTTATTGGTCAATCAGTAACTAGACTTCAAACAAATAGTGTTTCTTTACTTATGCAATCAGTGAACCGCTCACTCCTCCAGGCCTCTATCCAAGTCCAATGTCATGTGGAAATGCATGTGGAAGTCCTCTCCCTTAAACAATAGACATACCACATTTACTTCCTGTCGTGATTGAACTCTTATTGGTTTCGGATCAGATCTTGCTGCATCATCAGATCAATCCAACGGGAACAAATATATGTTGGCAATATGTTGCCAATAAGCACAAGCAATGTTAACAGCAGTTATAGAAGATAACTAAGTACATTTACTCAAGTAGTGTGGTACAAGGTGCTTGTTACTTGAGTATTTCCATTCCATTCATTACTTCTACTCAACTACAAATCAGAGGGAAATATCGTACTTTTTAGTCCACACATGTATTTGACAGCTGTAGTTACTAGTAATCTTCACAAAAAACTAATGATGAGCTTTTAAAATATGATGTTTTGTCAGAGCTGACCTTTAGTTCTAATTAGAGCTGAAACAATTAGTGAATTAATCATAGGCTATACTCAATGACGATTTCCTTTTTCTTATCTTATCTTAAATTATATTACACTGATTCATTTATCAGCAGTTGTTTGAGTAGGATTTTGATGTTGAAACCAACAACAAAAGCTGTTGTCTGTTAAGCGTCCCTGCAGCAGTGGAATTCAGGTTTTAAAGAGACATAAAGCAGAGTAACAAATGTTGAGTGATGAATTTGCAGTCTGTGATGAAATGCTACAGCTTCACGATGCTGCTCTGTTTTCAGAAATGTGTGACAATCCTAAGCAACTGACAGTTTGATCATACTGGCAATGATTTTAGTTGTTTTTAAAAAAAAATAGTATATGTTCATGTACAGCCAAAGAGATTGGTGCACTTTGGAGCCTGAATATAATTTAAATGTCTGATTTAAAAACAAATGTGTGCTCTTCAATGGATAGGTTTAAATAGTTTAAGTCTGTCTTAAAACAAAACCAACATGTCTGTCTTATCCGTTGTCTTGTCCATACTGGTTGCAAAGATATTCTGGAAGCAATTTATCTTGTAAGTTATAGGAGACAGTCCTTATTCTTTGTGAAAATGACTTATAGATCAGCTGAAGCTAATATAAAGCTTTAGCCAAAGTTACAGTATGTCCCTCTTTGTATATCCACAAACACAGTTTTCTTGCTAAGCATAGGGGAGGGACGGTTACAAAATGAGGGAATTAAGTACTTCAATTAAGAGTGCATTTAAGACTATCACTTTGTGAGTTGTGTAACTGCCGAAGCCTTATTATCTTTGGCTAAACTGTTATTTGCACAAAATGAGCACCATGGATTTAAAGTATTAGGATAAATTAGGGTGTAGACTAGAGCAATAGATTTTAGATATGGCAAGGCTCAGTGCCGACATAAAAGGAAACGCTGACAGCTTTATGGATCCTAGCCTTTAATTGTTTGTTCAGTGAAATCACATAAAAGAAGAGGACATGTTGTACTGGCTGGTTGTTGATGTTTCAATTAAGTACACATCACAAGTGGATATATAGATCATATTTGAGGGATAATGCCCTTTAAAAAAACATTATTGTGTAAGGGATTAAGTATTTCCCTCTGTTATAATGTTTAGCTCAGTCCTATGACTATTGATAACTTGACAATGTTGTGTTGAACATTGCAAGACTAGTCACAACAATGCAAATAATCTGACACTAATCTGATGATCAATGATCTGTCAGGTGTTGTATTATAAATCTATGGATCAATGTTCTTGTCTGGAAGAATCAACTGAACAGTCTTTCACATAATTGATTGAAAACAAACACTTCCATTGTTACCTTGTAGAAATGGACTGATATATGTCAAAGACACACTAGTCAAAAATGTAAACTATGTGTTGATCATAAAAGAGTTGAGACATGACAGTGACTCCAAACAAACTGAAATCAGGTTTGTCCTGCTCCTCTAGTACATGGTCTCTACAGTATGCAGGCAAAGTTGTTTTTAAAGGAACTTTTTTAAGTAAAAGGAACCCTTCCAGGGCTTTGAAACAGTTTCACCAACATGGAATCAGTGTTGTAGTCAAGCCACCAATTCACGAGTCCAAGTCACTCTCGAGTCACCACTCTTCGAGTCCGAGTCTAAGTCCGAGTCACCTAGGGAGAGTCGTAGTCGAGTCCAAGTCTGAGTCACCCAAGGAGTGTCAGAGTCGAGTCCGAGTCATCATTACCTGTGTTCGAGTTCGAGTCCAAGTCCGAGTCACCCAAGGAGTGTCCGAGTCAAGTCCGAGTCACAAGTCTTCATGTATTAATCTTCGTGGATATATGTGTTGAAATGTAGCTGCTCCTCTACATTGCTTTTATCCTGTCATGCTATACTAATATGTCTATTGAACTGCTGTGAAGCGAGTTTGGCTACAATTCTTGTAATAGGTGCTATACAAATATAAAGCTTATTACTAATATTATTATTATTATTATTGTAAATGACCTTTAATATTTCTAACTATATTTAAAATGAGTTACCTTTTAGAGAAGTGATTATATTTGTATGCCAATATTTTCTTATGGTAAAGTTTTCGTTTTGCACTTTTATTTTGATAGTAATAAGATCGGGACTCTTATTTTGAAGGAACTTTTACCGGAAGTCAATGGACAACGGAGTGTAAACACACGGATAAATGACGAATAAATTAACATATACTAAATAGTTGCATTCGGTTTTTAGTACCTGGCTGATAAGCAGTGGCGGTTCTAGACCAATTTGACTGGGGGGGCCACTGGGGGGCCAGTTATTTTCTGAGGGGGGCACAATAAATGCAGGACGAAAAAGAGAACTAGACAGTATGAAGTAATTGCGCATTAGAAAACAATGCAATACAGTTATTGGTATTTGTTTCAGTACATTTATTTATTTCAGATATATCTTATAGTTATTACTGTTAGCTTCAGCTTAAGTTATAGTGCAATGTTTGCACTAACACCATATTTATATAAAAATAAAGGCAATGAACAGTTACATCTCTACTTTACATAAGGGTGTCTGCACAATCTCACATTACAGCAACAAAATCCTGCGGTTTTTGGCAAACCGAGTACCAGAAAATATACATTTGAAAAAGAAAAAAAAAGTCATTGTCAGGGGGGCCACAGGTCAGTGTTAGGGCCCCCCCTAGAACCGCCCCTGCTGATAAAGGCACAAGCTCTAACGTTGGTAAGATTGTATACAAGCAAGGGTGTGCAATAAACAGATACCATCAGTTAGAGCAGTGGTTCCCAACCTTTACATATATATATTGGATTTTGAAGCCCCTCTTTAGTTTTTCACCTGCAGGGCCCAGTTCCAATACGAAGATTGTGACTATGTGTCCTTAAAACGAGCCTCCTCGCAATTGTATGCACATTATTTATTCAGCCGTTTGCTGTTTAATCTGATGGGAAATATATCATTCAAAAGAGAGAGAAAAGCTTATTAAATTAGACGAACGCTCAATACAGGCGATGACCAGTAGCGTGGCGTGGGAAAAAAATTAGGGGAAGCCAATAATACGTCCTTTCTTTTGGGTCGGGGGTGTGGTGGTCAATGTAATAACGTAACCAGATGAGTGATTACAGCACCCGGTATCATTTTACAC